TTTACATTCACACAACTGTTTACATTCACACAACTGTTTACATTCACACAACTGTTTACATTCGCACTACTGTTTATATTCATACTAGGTGTTTACATTCACACTACTGTTTACATTCACACTAGGTGTTTACATTCACACTAGGTGTTTACATTCACACTACTGTTTACATTCACACTACTGTTTATATTATTACTACTGTTTACATTCACACTACTGTTTACATTTGCACTACCGTTTACATTCACACTACTGCTTATATTACACTACCGTTGATATATATTTTTTTTACTAACCTTATTGCATATGTCACTTTACCTACACCAATATCAAGGACTTCATACATACACTATGTACATTCACTTCATATGTTGCTTTGCCACTCACTACAAATATCAATGTCAGGACCTTCACTTCATTTCATTTTATTTTTATAGATATACTTTAAAAAATATTTTTTTATACCGCTATAGTACAATTTAAGACAGTATCAAGCTTTTATTATTTAATTTTATGCTTATGTTTATTAAATGTTGCAATGTTAAATGGTTTTGTTGCACCGGGGTCTGAGAGGAATGTAATTTCAATCCTGTGTATGTCCTGTACATATTGCAGTTTTTGACAATAAAGTGACTTTGACTTTCACGTGTGTGACTTTTGTTGGAATGTTTTTCACAATGTGAGGCAGGAACATATAAAGCTTGTATTTTTTTATATATATCTGAAACAAAAATATGCCAGAGAAACAAATACTTTATTTTCGCTGTATAGTCGCACCTTTTTGCATAAATTTGCATGCCCTGCGACGTATACAGCTAAGCAACTTGTGATTTTTCCCATATTTATAACCCAATTTTTGTCCGAGATCTGACAATTTCATTCATTCTGACATAGAAAATATTGACCATTAACATTTTCATCTGATAGAGGGCCCTCAACCAATATGGCAAGCCAAGTGTCTCATTAATAGGTAAAAGTGGCTATTAATGAGACACTTGGCTTGCCATATCAAGCCACCTTTGTCTCGCTCCAGAACTCCTGGAGCAAACGTCAAATCTGCAGCATTTTGCCGTGCTGCCCAGGCAAAATGCAGCAGATTTGACCGTCAAAGTGCATTTATTAAGGAAAAGTTCAACTGAGACATATCTTTGCTATAATTTCGAGCAAACAAATAATTGTTTTGAAGTGTTAATCTTGTTACATTCTTGTTAAAAGCCCTCCGTGCACGCTCCCGCGTCCGCCATTTGGCAGCCAATCGATTTTTGGCACAACACCGGCGCACGTTTCCGGGTGGTCAGCGGTGACGCATGACTAACGCAACGCATCAGCGGTGACGTATAATAGATGTGACTTATACGACGAAGCAACTTATTTGTTTTTTCCCCACTTTATTAGACATTTTTGGACTGATGCGACTTATACGGTGGAAAGTACGGTACTGAACCATTTGAGACAACAGACTTAACCTGACACAGAAAACAAACTGACAAACATGCCCTATTCGATAATAAAAACAAATGTACTGGTCCTTGTTTTAATTACACTGTGCCTTTGATTTCATTGGCAAAACCAGAAATATAACATTCATACAGATGATTTGCTTTGACACTCCTATTTTCTACATGTAAAACGAAATTTAAAAAGTGTGAAAAACTCGAGACCTAACGCATAAAGAAGAGACTGAACGGTTTTTACAAATAATCTCAGAACTTGGATCACTTTGCAATACAAAACTTGCACAATTATTACTAGTTTGGTTAATGCATATGAACAAACACTTGAATTTTATTATTTTATTAATAAATCAGTAGGAAATGCAAAGTTAAAACTGCTGACAAGAAAAGAACAACCTAATCAGGTAATGTCTAATGAGTGTTTTCAGTTGATATAAACTGCATAAAACGAAACAGGTCTGATCAAGTTCACGTAGCATTTGTTGAGCACGTACCTGCAGGAGTTTCTTTGAGAAGCTCCGTGCATCGTTGCAGCAGCAGGCCGAACATGCCAAGGCCCAGAGAGGTGCTTTGTTCAAGTAAAACGGAACGGACATCATCTTCTTCACCTGACAGAGACATTTCAATATTTCATCAGAGGCTTTGGTGGAAAAAAATTGCACTCGAAGTCATTTTAAATTTGTTTTCATGACTACTGAACTTCAAACTAAGTCAACCAGATGAAGAAAAAGTTTTTAATGGAGGTAAATTTTACTACTTTTTTTTTTTAATTAAAAAAACACTAAACAAAACAAAAATCAAGAAAGCAGATTGACCAGCCATGCATTTGTATTCCTTTGTGTTAAGATAAATCAGTTTAACATTTGAAGATATTTATAATTAAGTGTCTTTCTGTGAGTGCAATTTTACCTCTGCCATGTGCATTATGTATGGCAAACATGTTGATGGTGATAATCTGCAGCATGTTTGTACAGCCCAGCAGCGAGGGGCCGTGCTGAAGAAGTGTTCTGAACTCCTGCAAAACACGACTCGCCACTGCAGGGAACGATTCCATTCTGGGTGGGAGAAAAAAATAAAAATAAAACTTGCACACACCAAAACAAACACAGGAACGTTTTACTGTGCTTCTATGAAACACATCAGTATACAAAGACAAAAGCTGGTAAACAGACAGCGCTCACCCCACTTTAGTGAAGAGCTTCCCATGTGCATGTAAGAAACTAAGAATGAATCTCTTATTCAGCTGTAGAAAAACAGGTCAAAGACAGACAAAAAAAAACTATTAATCATTTTAGTAATAATTTTATCCAGGTACAAAATCACCGGAACAGCACAGGACAGAAAGAGACATGTCATTATTCACTGCCAAAGACCAGGAAGAGGTCTGGAGCTGACATAAACATTAAGAGGCTCCCAGGATTGAAATATAACTGGAAGAAAATCAACTAAAAGGACAGACACTCTCAGGCCTCTATAAATAATACTGGGCAAAAATGTGCATGAGCTTGTTTTTAATAAGATTCTAAAAATATTTTAAACATATTTTTTATATTAAAATGTTGATAATATATAATAAAATAGTATTTCCATTCTGTCAACTGTAGGACCGACCCAGCAGCTGCACTGTTCATATACTGAACTAAAATATAAATGTAACACTTGTTTTTGCTCCCATTTTTCATGAGCTGAACTCAAAGATCTAAGACTTTTTCTACGTACATAACAGGCCTCTTTTTTTTTCTCCATTTGTCAGCACGATGGCTCAGTGGTTAGCACTGCTGCCTCACAGCAAGAAGGTCCTGGGTTCAATCCCCAGTTGGAGCTGGGGTCTTTCTGTGTGGAGTTTGCATGTTCTTCTCGTGCTTGTGTGGGTTTTCTCCGAGTACTCCGGTTTCCTCTCACAAATCAAAAACATGCATGTTAGGCTTCCTTCAGGCCTCGATTGCAAAAGAGATCTGTGATTTCAATGGGATTTGCCTGGTTAAATAAAGGTTAATAATGATAATGATAATAATAATAATAATAATAATAATAATAATAATAATAATAATAATAATGATAATAATAATAATAACTTTGCCTTTCATTCAACCTTTATTTGCCTTGGTCAAGATAATCCATCCCGCTCACAAGTGTGGCATATCAAGATGCCGATTAGTCAGCATGATTATTGTGCAAGTATGCCTTAGGGTGACCACAATAAAAGGCCACTCTAAACTGTGCAGTTTTACTGTATTGGGGGTCCATGGGGGTCAGAAAACCAGTCAGTATCTGGTATGAGCATGATTTGCCTCCTTCACATAGAGTTGATCAGGTTGTTGTCTCCTGTGGAATGTTGGTCCACTCCTCTTCAATAGGATATCATCAGGAACTGGAAGATGCTGTCCTATACGCTGATCCAGAGCATCTCAAACATGCTCAATGGGGGACATGTCTGGTGAATATGCTGACCATGCAAGAACTGAAATGTTTTTTAGCTTCCATGAATTGTGTACATATCTTGCAACATGTGTATTATCGTGCTGCAACATGAGGTGATGGTCATGAATAAAATGGCACAACGGATCTCAGGATCTTGGCATGGTATCTCTGCATTCAAAATGCCATCAATAAAATGTACCGGTGTTCGTTGTCCATAACATACAACTTCCCATACCATAACCCCATCAAGGGCCACTCGATTCACAAAGCTGCCATCAGCAATCCGCTCACCCACACAACGCCATACATGCAGTCTGCCATCTGCACTATCCAGTGTAAACTGGGATTCATCCGTGAAGAGAACACCTCTCCAACATGCCTTACACCATCAAATGTGAGCATTTACCCATTCATGTCGGTTACAACAAACTGCAGTCAGGTCGAGACCCCGATGAGGATGACAAGTATGCAGATGAACTTCCCTGTGACGTTTCTGACAGTCTGTGGTTATGGAAACCGATTGTTACAGCAGCTGTCTGGGTGGGTGGTTTTTGAAACTTGTGGCATCTGTGGCATTGTGTTGCGTGAGAAAACTGCAGTTTAGAGTGGCCTTTTATTGTGGTCAGCCTAAGGCACACCTGTGCAATAATCATGCTGTCTAATCAGTATCATGATATGCAACACCTGTGAGGTGGATGGAATTATCTTGGAAAAGAAGTGATAACCAACACAGATTTACACAATTTTTTTGAACATTGGTATTGGGTATTGGTATCAGGGGCGGCTGTGGCTGAGTGGTTAGAGCAGTCATCCTCCAATGCGAGAGTTGGGGGTTTGAATCCACCAGCAGTCACATGCCGAAGTGTCCCTGGGCTAGACATTGAATCCCTCATAGCCTCTGATGTGTGTCCCATCAGTGTATGAATGTGAGCTAAAGCACTGATTAGTCTCATTAGAATGATTTGTTCAATTAGTTTTGTAGAGATCTAGCAGAGTGCTATATGAATGGGTAAATGAGGACACAGATTATAGTGTAAAGCGCTTTGAGTATCTTGAAATAAGATAGAAAGGCACTATATAAGTACAGTCCATTTACCATTTACAATAGTAGAGAAAAAAGAGCCAGTTGTGTACATAGAAGTCTTAGATTGTTGAGCTCAGCTCATGAGAAATGGGAGCAAAAACAAAAGTGTTGCAATTATATTTTTGTTCAGTATAAATACAACTCTGTTGCATTAACAACAATCACACCTGATTTCACATGACTCAAATATCATACCATATACTTTTTTCTACATGCAAAATTCACATCCGTTTCCCTAATTTTAATCTTTAAACAGTTTCAAACAGTGATTTAATTACATTTAACAACGCATCTGAGCACATTGTTTGTAGACATAAAGCTGCACTGTGTATATATATATATATATATATATATCTATAGATGTATAGCATTGTGTGGGTGAGCAGATTGCTGACGGCAGCTTTGTGAATCGAGTGGCCCTTGGTGGGGATATGGTATGGGAAGGCGTATGTTATGGACAACGAACACAGGTACATTTTATTGATGGCATTTTGAACGCACAGAGATACCATGCCAAGATCCTGAGAAAGTGATCCTGAGAAGTGTGCTCAGATGCGTTGTTAAATGTAATTAAATCACTGTTTGAAACTGTTTAAAGATTAAAATTAGGAAAACGGATGTGAATTTTGCATGTAGAAAAAAGTATATGGTATGATTTGAGTCATGTGAAATCAGGTGTGATTGTTGTCGGTCGATCGTTCGGTCGATCGATAGATATTTGTAAATGTACAATCAAAATGGGTTCTTCAAGTGTACATATAGAAAGAAACATGAATCATGAGACTTTGTGAGAATGAAAGACAAGAAAGAGCTCTTACGTCAGTAGCACTGAGACTGCCCAGCTCTCCGTCCTGTTCAGAGTCTCTGCTGGACTCACTGCCTCCTCTCTGTGAAGAAGATGATGTAGTTTGTCCACTGGGCCGGATCCAAACCTCTACACGGGCTCCGTCATTCCCTCTCCCTCTCCTTCTTACCAATGGACCTTGAGACCCACCTTCATACTCCTGCCTCTTTTTTCGCTCAAGCTGTTCTGCCTATGAGAGAAAAAAGGATGTGTAAACAAGAAGCATATCTTCTGCCTCAAGTGTGGATGTAACAATAGTGTCAGGGGAATTGATGTGAACGTCATGGATGTTATCACTTACTAACGTTAAATTGAAGTAGAACCATGTGTGTGAGTTAGAGCCGTTTTGTCTGAACAGAGAGGAGCCTGCAGGAGCACGGAGCCTGTGCACCTGATAAACTTCAAGGTCTCTAAGCTGAAAAGCAGAGGTTGTTTTGACTCGTCCTCTGCCTGATGAGCATTATAAATAGACACTTCTTTATACTGCCTGTGGGCAGACCTTACGACGAGAGCTTCATGAAACATCTGTGTAAGAAACTCTGCTGCCCCCTTTTTTCCTTCTTCTTTCGGCTGCTCCATTCTTCAGGGGTCGCCACAGTGAACCAAGTCTCATGAAGACGTAACAATTGTTTTTACGCAAGATGCCCTTCCTGACGCAACCACAGCCCACCAAGCTACCACAGCCCCACGTGTTGAGCAGAGAGCTGATATCTAGGGCACCTGGGGAAGCAGATTAAGGGCCTTGCTCAAGGGTCCAGAGTGGGGCAAATAAGGATGGAGGCAGGTGTCGGTGCTTCTCCTATCCCGCCCACATTTTTTATATTGTTGGTAACAGGAGTGGAACCAGCGACCTTCCGACCACAGGCCCATCTTCTCTAACCTATGTGCCACCACTCCCTCCTACCACTCCCTTTACAAGGAGTAAAACTGGATTGAAAAATCTTGTATCTGCAGTGTGGCTTATTTGATAAATGAGATGATGAAAGGGTAATTTATTTATCGAACATATTTGGTCCTTTGAGCCGGATTCCCCTGATAAATAGCTCATTGTAAAGATAAATAGCCAAGTAAATAAGATCATTCATTAAACAAATTCTTAATTCTCAACTAGAACCACATGAGCATAGAATAGTCATGCAATAATATATAACTGTGTTGTAAAACCAGTTCTATTCATTAAACACATTTGTTAAAACTTCTGGTCCAATTACGTTCTCCTGATATAATTTACAGCCAAATGAAAACAACAAAAACCCAAAACAAAGTCATGCATTAAACAAAAAGGTGTCCAAATGTGAGACTGGTCTTTCTTTCATTTTTTTAACTGACACATTTGCTGTAGCAGACTTGCAGTAAGATTACAACAATTATTTTTTTGTTCAAAGTTACAAAAAGATCCTCAGTGAGGTTAAGATCTGAACTCAGACGTGCAGGCTTCTTACACCCTCCTCAAAAACTAATTCAGACACTTTAAGAATTTTCAAGACAAACTTTCAGCCTTTTCCGTCCCTTTATTGTAGCAATAAATAAGTTCTTCAAAATGTGCATTTATATTTAGATTTTTCCTGCTCATTTCATGAAATACGGTATTTTAAGACAAACTAAAATTTATCAGAATATTTACAAAAGGTGAGAAATTTAAGGAAAACAAAGTTTCAGAATGTGCCACTTTTCTTTGGGTGCACTTAGCATTATAAACAAAATGTCTGTGCTAATACGAAATAAATTGACTTGCGACTCCTATTTTTTATATTTTTATTAAAAATATCAGCAATATAAGATACAAGTGCTTTGGTAGTTCATGAAGATAGGCGTTTTCTTGAGCCTTTTAAGTTGTATTTATTTATTAGCAGAATATACAAACCACAGGCACAGATTCGGAGTGGCAGGTAATATTTCTGAGTCGTCTGGACTAGACGCAACAGTGAAACTGTTTATTAATCTGAAAGGTTACCTAATAAATCAGAAACCAATTTAGTTTAAAATCGCATTGAATTTACATTTTTAAGCATTTTAATTAAAATTGCAGCTTTTAAATATTAAAAACAACCCAATAAACATAATTTTCAAGTTTCCAGCTCCTATTTTAACCTTGAACTTGTGTGAAAACAAATTGTTGTTTGCTGCAGTGGTTCCCAACCGTGGTCCTTGAGGAACGCCATCCTGCATGTTTTAGTCGTTTCTCTGCTTTAACACACCTGATTCAGTGAATTAGTTACTTCCTCAAGTGCTGCAGAAGTCTGTTAATCACCCATTTATTCAAATCAGATGTGTTTGAGCAGAGAAACAACTAAACCATGCAGGATGGTGTTCCTCAGGGACCAGAGTTGGGAACAACTGGTTTATTGAACCACTTTTCTGTAGCTTGAGCCCAACTGTCCTGTGTGAATGTTTTCTGTTTGTGCCACAGTTAGAGACGTGGATTTATGTTAGAACCAGGGTCTTGTCCAAAGTCAGCTGACACAAAATGCGTCCCTTACCTTACGCTTGGCTTCTTCAAACAAACTCATCAGGCTCTCCTTCGCAGTCAGAATGGGGTTGGAGGCTGCCAAACTGCGCATATAATAATATACAGCATCTAACTTCCGCTTCTGTAGATTAGAGATTAGAAAAGAGCAAAGAGGGAAAAAAATTGGGGTGGATACTGACAAATCATTACTCATACTAGTGTATTTTTCATTTGTTCCAAGTCTTGATGCAAAATAATCAATCATAAAAAGGCTAGACCCATTTACCTAATAGAGCTTTTACACTGACCTTTTAACGCTGGTACAGTACAAACAGAATTAATGACATTATTGAATACTGTTAGCGCCCCAGAAAATGATCACACTGGGCTAATATAATACGTACAACCACTGGAAAATCAACAAATAACACAGGTGTTTCTGACAGAGGCAAAATAATCAAATAAAAATCCATAAATGCCACTGTTCTTGTTTTATCAGTTATCATCCTCATGCAAACATAGAAGCATAATATTTTAAAATGCATGTGCTAGACTGTTTGTTATGAGCTACTTCTTTTTGTTTTTTTACAACTTCTAAAATCTGAATCTGCTTCCTGGTATTTTCAGGTGGTGTAATATTTGCAATACTGCCGCTGGATTGGTGACAAATTAACTATAATTAACCACAATCCACAGGGTATTCTTGGCACAAATCATATTTCTTTACCTTGTTGTTACTCTAGATTATGACATTCAAAATGCTGGTGTATCACAAACGTTTAACTAATGATGCCAAGTTAACACTGAGATCCACCACCACCAGCACTCACATTTAAAATGTAAATAACTTGAAGCTCAAAACGTCAATTTAAAAACAGGATAACATTCAAATATGGTATTCTCAGTCACTTACTGTATAAACTGCTAACAGAGCCAGCTGGTTATACGGTCGTCCATTTTTGGGAGCAATCTGCTGGGCTTTCAGGTACCAGCTAAGATAAATTCAAAGTACAAAGTCATGACGTGTCAAAATTAAAAAAAAGCATTTTCAGTTTACACTACAAGTGCATCTCAAAAAATTTGAATTTCGTGAAAGAGTTAGATTTTTTTTGTCAAACATTTCAGAAAATGAAACTCGTGTATAAAATAAAATATAAAAATAGATTAATATACAAAATAGGCACAGAGCGAAATATTTCAAGCCTTTTTGTCTCGTGTTTTTGATGAATATGGCTTAAAAATAATGAAAAAACAAAATTCAGCGTCTCAGAAAATGTTAATATTGTGAAGAGGTTCATGTTGGAAACTCCTGGTGTCACACCCTAATCAGCTGATTAACTTGAAATACTTCTCTCAATGTGTAACGAATCTACATAAAATATAAGTTTGTCTAGTGAAAGGTAAACATGTAAAATCATTTGCAAAAATAAGGCTTGATCTGATTGTTTCCTCTTGGACTCAAACGTAATGAGGATATGATGCTAACCTAACAACTCGTTCAGAAACATCCATTTTAACCTACTAATCTAAAATTAAACTTCACAAAAAAAACAAAAACTAAACTGTAGCATATGGTTTCTGCAGGTCAAGTCAAAACAGACAGATTCTCATGTTTGCTTTTAAGGCCACTTAGTATTGAATTTTAAGACTAAGATCAAAACAGTTTTGTGGTTATTTTTGTTTGTTTGGTTGCTTCTTCTGTCGCTGTCAAATTAAGTCACGTCCAACAAAGGCAACGGGGAGTGTAGCATTCAGTGTTTTAAACCAGTGTCAACTACTAAGCAGATTCAGGTTTTTCTGGTAAAAAAAAACAAACAAAAAAAACTTTTTGTGATTGGCTACACTATAGCAGCAGCTAACCGTATTCATCAACATCTGCTAGTGTGTATGTTATGTGTATGAACTGCAATGAATGCCAACCAAATAACAGAAATAGCCTTAGTTCCATACATTATGAAAAATATTTTAATGTGAGTTTTGTTGCAATTAACAATTTAAGACTTAAAGGGCCAATTGCAACCCTCCTGAAACGACAGCTTACCTGCGGGCCTTGCCATAGTTGGCAGAATTAGTGGCTTGTTCCCGATACCGTGCAATATCTCCCTGACAAATCATACAGCGCTGCGCACTAATAAGTGCATATTTTACCTAAAAATCCCAAATCACACATAAAAAAAACAATTAATTGTGTTTGTAGAGGGAAAAAAGCAAGATATTATATTATTTTTTGCAATAATGACTGCAAGTGTATTAACTATAAATTGATTGGTTTAGAATACTGCATTACAACTTTGACTACAGGTTAAGAACACAAAGTACAAGTGGTGTTGATGTACCGTTTTGCGTAACGGACGAGCCCTGATAGCTATACCATCCATGTAGTCCTTTAATGTGAACTGGTACACAGTCTGCAGCTTCTGAAGCAGTGTGTCAAAGAACAGTGCTCCCTGGAAAACAGACATTGAAAAGAAAAAAAAGTATAACTTGTCATTCTTACTGAAATGATTAGCATTTAAAAACACTCCTTGCATTCAAATCTTGCCATGGTTATTATGATGTCATTACACTTAAAAATGTTTTTAAACCTGTTAAATGCCTGTAAAAAAGCTATAATAAAGAACTGGTACCAGACATCTGCTCCCTCCATACAACAGTGGCTGAATACTGTTAGGGAAATTTATGAGAAGGAACAAATGACTTTCATTCTTAGACTAAAAGAAGATATTTTTATGAATAAGTGGGAAAAATGGACACAGTATGACACCCAAAAAAAGACATGAGGAAATTCAACACCACTAACAGAGGAATCTCTAGACCCTAGAAACCTGCAACAGATTGTTTTTATTTTATATATTTCTTTTGGATGTTCACATCTTATTTTTTTAATATGGTAAATAGAGGCCTGCTTAGGCTATCATAATCTGGAAAATGTCTGTGATATACGTCTTGAAATGTTATCTATCACTGAAACTGTTAATAAAATTAAAGTGGAAAAAAAATGTTATTAAACAAAAATTTAGATACTTTTTTGCTTGTACATCAACAATATAAATAACACCCTGCACATATTCACATAATGAACAATACGTTTTAGGAGAAGTGATTAAAAAAACAACAACGACATTTTAACAGATCAAAGGAATTAAGTAATTTTAAGTATTTAAAGACAAAACTACTAAGCAGTTTGTTATTCTAGCTTGTCCAAATGTTTCATGTTTCTTACCTCATCCAGGAGTGTGAGCAGCATGTTCCTGATATCAGGGATGTTATCATACGCAGGGTCTTTGAGCAGCTGCCGGAAGCGCTCTATGACCTGGTAAAACACATTCTTCCACAAAGCCTGATCCACGTTTTGGGAGTCAGAAAACTCGATGTCTATCAAGATGATCCGCTCGTACAGTCCCAAAAGGTCCAATCTTGAAAAAGGTTCAAAAGTAAAATTTGTATTTATTTCCAGTCACAAAAGGTTAATAAACAAATAAATGCTACAGAATAGAGGAGAAAATGCAGAAAGCACTGACAAAAACTGGTAAATGCTTACCTGAGTTGGGGCATGCGATCCAGTCCATCAGCACTCAGTCTGTCCCTGGAGAGAAGATTGCTGAGCTGAAGCTCATGTGCATCAGCAGCCTTCAGCAGCCTCCCCAGTTCCCCTCTGGTTTGTTGCTCCGCTTCTTCAAATGTCAGCCCACCTCCCGCGCCTGGCTGAGAATAACCTGCTCCCCTGTAACCCCCACAGAATGGACCGGGGCCTGGGTATATGCCATTAGGGTGAGCCATTTGGTACGTTCCTATATTATAAGGATATGGGTAGCGTGGGCTGGTGGTATTATGTGGGCTAGTGTTGGACACAGGATAGCAGTAGGGGTTGTCAGAGTTTTGGAATTTGTAGTAAGCCATAGCAGCTGCCTGCTGTTCTCCTTGTGTCACAGGAGGACTGCCTGCTACCTCATCATCTGTGTCCAGAAAGTGAAGTTGTCCATATCCAGCCCCTGTCTGCAGACACACAGGCTGTTTGAGAGATGAATACTGCGAGGCTTGAGTGCTAGAAAGAGCAGGTTTCTGATCTGGGTTATTGGGATCCCAGAGTCGTCTTACTCCGCCGCCTCGGCCTCCTCTACTTCTGCCAGCTGTTCCTCCCCTGAATCCACCAGAAAGAAGCCTTTGTCCCACCTCAGGTGAACTGGAGATGTCTGTACGAGTTGGAAGCACCAAGATCCCACCTCTGCCACGAGGAGCTAGTGCTTGCTTGCAATTCTGTGCATCCCCACTGTGTGATGAGGTACCAGACTTTTTTTCTAAAGAAACCCTTAGGATTCCCCGACCTCCACCTTTGTTAGACTTCGGTGTCCTCCCTTCCTCTTTTTGCCTTCCTATACTTGTTTCTTCCTCCCCGACTCGTCTCCTCCGCCGTCGCCTCTTGTCTTCGTCTCTGTCACACATCCCAGTCCTGTCCAGTGATTCTGAGGATGAATCCTTGTTGCTTGTCCAGCTTTTCAAGTGTCTCCTTTTCTCCTCGTTGTTGTCAATCCCATCTTTCTTTTTTTGGCCTGTGTCACGACATGGCCATTTGGCACTTTCCGTGTCCATTTGCCGCCTGGGATCATCCTGGCTGGTCACACTACTAGCTGAGCTACTGCTGTACGTTCTGTTCCGCAAGTGTCGGACATCTGATTTTGAATAGCGTTTTGAGGAAGGTGTGCTGTTGTTCACATTAGATCTGTACTGATCACCTTGTCCTGCAGCCTTGTCTAAGTTGCTGTCCACTTTGGCAGCTTTCTCCCCATCCCTGCAACTGCTGTCATTTATTTTTCTGTTTTCTCTGCATTTATCTTTTCTTTTGTTTTGGTGAGTTTCTTTAGGCTTCTCATTTTTTCTTCCATCTGCATCTGGAGCTCTCTGGTCTTTCTCCTTCTCCGGTTTTCTCTGGTTGTTTTTTTCATCACGACCTGCTTCATCTCCTCTTTTGGATTCAAGATTCTTCTCTTTTTGTCTTTCCACTTCTTTTCTTCTGCAGTTTCCCTTGTCTTTCTTATCTGTTCTTTCTTCATCTTTGGTTTCTTCAGCTTGACCTCGCCTTTCTTTATGGCTTTTCTCCCCTCTATCTTTATTTGCATGCTCCGTTTTACCTTTCTCTTTTATATTGAGTTTTTCAACTTTGCTTGTAACTTTGTCTACTGAAGCATCAACAGGAAGTAGAGGTGTTCTCACATTTTGACGTCCTTGTTCTCTAGTGTCTTCATTGCGATTACACAATGTTACGGTCTCCTGAACAGCTCTTGTTTTATCTTTTCCGCCTTGCTTGGATACAGATTTGTTTTCATTCCCCTTCCCCTCCCTTGTCTCTGTACTCAAGTGTGATTCTGGCTCAGCGTTTTGCTCTTGATTTCTAGAAGGTGGTTTATCCACAACACCAAAGTCCTTTCCCAGGTTATTCCTCCGGCTCCCAGGCTGGTAAAACTCTCGGTCAGGTTTGCGGGATTTCTTTGTAGGTTTAAGAGCTCCAGCAGTTTCTTGATGTTCTCGGTCATTTTCACCAAGCACTTTCTTTTCATGTGCATTTGTTTTAGTACGGACATTACCGCCATCACCTCTCTTTCGGTCTTCTTCCTTTTTTTTCATAACTGACCCACTGTCTGTGCATTCCTGTCTTTCTAAAGCATTTTTAGAAACTTTCATTTTCTCACTCTGAGACGATCCATCAGACTGTTGTACTTTAGCTTGTAGTGGATCATTTGGACCACTCTCTCCTTCCTCGCTGTCCCGACGACGCCGTCCGTGTCCAGATGCCGGTTGGTAACGTTGCAGATCAGGACGTTTTACTTCACGGTTTTTATGTTGCTTGTGAGCATCAGGTTCCTGTTGCTCCTCTGCAAAAAGTGACAAGATAATTAAGGAAAATGTAATCAACACAAAAGTTTAAATTTGAGTATTCATTTGCAGCATCAATTAATTTCTTATTTTTTGGCGAGTACAATTTTTATTACATATTAGGCCTGTCACGATAACAAATTTTACTGGGCAATTAATTGTCTCAGAAATTATTGCGATAAATGATAATATAGTTTGAAATTTGGCAATAATTACAAATTTAAGAAGAAACATTGGTTAATTTGTTTTGTATCTAGTGCCTTTTTTTGACCACCAGATGACAGTATGACTGAACTGAAGGATGGATAGTGAGGAAGCGCGCATCGTGTCTCTAAGAAAAATGGGACGGAGGCCCCTTGATGTGACATGGGCTGTCTCTCGTTCCTGTTTTTCCGTTCTCAACATGGCGGACGCTCAGTGTGGTTTGAGTGTTTGGTTTTTAGCATAGCATTTGTCACACAAAGCTTTTGATAACAAAAAAATAAATAAATCAGTAAACAAGTTCTCAACTTCTTTTTGCAGACAAACAACTTTTACACAAAGGCACAGGTTTCAACCGTGAATTTTGGAACTTTGACAAGATGGAGGTTTTTTCCCCCAAGGTCAGCCTGTTAGCTTAGCTTGTAGCTTAGCTTCTCAGCTTAGCTGCTTTTAATGATCCAAAAACATTTTGGACGGTTAAAACAGATTTTAAAGAGAAAAGAGAAAGGGAGGGGTCAGTGAAGAGCACCAGAGTTGAGCAGTGTCTTCAGTAGAAAGAGAGAGACATGAAGAAACAATAAAGCTGATAAATGAAAATGAGGTCCATAATTTTCATTTGTCAAGCGATTACTTGATTTATTGTTTATCATGACAGGCCTATTACATACCACTGGTGAAGGCTGATATACTCTAGAACATATGTGTCAAAGTCAAGGCCCGGGGGCCAAATGCGGCCCTCGCTGACATCTTATCTGGCCCCCAAGATGATATGTGAAATGTGAAATACCTTTGTATCTTGAATTTTTTTTTTTTTAGTAATCTTTGATAATCATGTCAAAAGCACAACAGAGAACATCAAATGAGACCAATCAAACATTTGTTGAGGAACCTGTGACCAAGAAAATATGTTGGGCATCTGATTTGAGTTAATGTAGTTTCTGAAATCGGTGCTTAGTTTGAAAAAGATTTTAATTTTGGCCCCATTTTCTAAGTGAGTTTGACACCCCTGCTCTAGAAGTATCAAGATCTACTGTGCACACTTAATTGACAACCATTTTTTAATTCTATCAAGTTTATCTGCTAAAAGTTAAATATTTATATGAATCTAATAATGTAAAACTGTTACGCACGTTTCCTTAACTGTATATGCACTAAGAAAGGTAAAATGTAAAGTACAATAAGATTAACAATGGTAACAGAAATCCCTGGTGTAATATGCTAAAAAAGACATGCAAGAGTGAAAGCAGATAGAAAGTTGTCTACCAGCACTGCAAATCTGCTCATTCTGGTGTAGCTCCTCTGCCCTGACAAGTATGACAACTCCTACAGGTAAGTTGCTTTTTAAAGTGTCACTTTTCTGTTCTTTTAACAGTAGCAACATTTTAAGTGGAGTTCATTATGATGAACCACTGTCTGCCAATGTTAAACACCCACCTGCCGTTAAGTGTGCGACACGGTTCCAATATCTGAAAGGTTACCTGTTTTTTTTAAGCATCTTAGCCACTGATGCATAGGCTCACCATGCTGATAGGAACCACAAAAATTTACCTTTTTATATGTAGCACAGTCAGCTGTTACCATTGATAGTAAATTGATTCTCTAAGGAATCCAAGTGTTTTCCTATCCCAATATTCTTGTTTAGATCACAATCCTTTTTTGTAGGTTTAGGTCAGTCACCTCTTGGCAAATGGTACAAAATGTGCCAGCTCATCATTTTAACAGGAGTGAGAAACATGATCATAAAAACACCCGTATTGACCTCAATCTATTATTTTCCACTTGTCACAAGTTAAAATTGAAATTGTTGATAGTTGCAAGAACTCTCAAGTCAAAGACGCACATGCTCTTAGATGTTTCACAAACCAAACTTGAATGCAGAAGTAATTTTGGAGTTGTGTCACTACCAGTCCACACAAAAACATAAATTAAAATAAGAACAACTTTGGATAGCTTCAAAACATTACTAAAAAGAGTCTTTTATTTAGCATATGACACTAGTAAGATCTGACAAGTTAATTCAACCTATGATCTTTTATCCATTCCTTTTTATTTTCACTTTTAAATTGTATGAATAAAATTGATTATTTTGTGTCTTATGCATAACTTTGCTTGGAAAATTGACGTATTTATTTGTACAGCACTTCAGTAAAACTTGCATTGTTTAAAATATGCTCTACAAAAAAAAAAAAAAAAACTGACATGACCAAACATTTTAAATTAGTAAGCCTTTAAAGGTTAACTGAAAACAAGTGTACCTGGATTTGATTTAAAAATAAGTAAATCATTGACAAGTTAAAACGCAGGCAGGATATTTGGAAGAACAGTTCTGTAAGAGAGAATAATACTCGGGTGAAAATATGAAAACTTGCATTTTTGACAATTAAAAGTAAGATTTTTTTCATACGAACACTGTTTGTTCTTTTTGATAATAAAGTAATGTTAAACTTGGTAACGTCAAACGTTTATTTTAGCCACTATGGGGCTACACGTTCAATTTTATAACTAACAAGGGCACACTTTTTGAGTTTTGTGGCGCTTAAACAGAACAAGGTTAAATAAAACAAGTGATACGAGAAAGGAAAAACACAACATTTAAGTGGAGGATGGTTAAACTCAGTTTAGCTTGGTTTAAAACGAGAAAAGGAGTGAAACAAACTCAGCGCAAAACAGGCACAATGCTCGTCGCTAACATTAGCTGCTTACAAACTTAGCAACTCAGTCCGTACGTCACTTTCCGCCAACTTGTTTTGTAGTTTCACTTTAAATTAGTAACTTTTTCCAAGCGTATTCCAAACATACAATTCAGACCCCCTCACCTTTCACACAGTTGGTAATGTTGGCTGAATACGAAGCTTCAGCTCGTAGTTCCGCAGCTGAGATTCGCACTCTAGCCAGTTCGTTCGCCATCTTAGACTCCCACTAACATAACAACTACGGTGGCCCAACTGGACAAATTTTAATATCGAATGATGTTGTAGCGAAGACTGCTGGGTAATGTAGTACAGTTTCATTAAAAATGCTTTAAGCATCACACAATCAATGTTCTATGTAAATAAAACGTCCAAAAAATAATGAAATAATTAATTCAAAATTTTATTATATATATTTGAAATGACTGGTCCACTTTCTCTTGTGGCTCTGTTTTTTTTTTTTTAATATCTTCTGACAGAACCATCTACTTTGTATTTGTTTAAATGTGTAGTATGTACTGAATATAAAATATACTTTGTTTTTTAATCTGTATATTTTTATAATTATGAAAAGTCAAAACATTCACTTCACTTTTAACAAATATTACAAAATTAATTATTCAAGTCAAGAAGCACTAGTTTAAAATACATTGAAACAATAATTATCATTAAAGCAAGAAGTTTATAAAATATTATTTCTTTATCTGCCTGCCACATAATGTTTTATTGTATTGTGGTGTCTCTTACGCTATTGCTGTTCTGGGTGAATGGGTGTAAAATTGAGTTGTAATACAATGTTGTAATACAAATAAAGAAACTTGGACGTTGACTGTGTTAACAACACTCGTTTTATTATTTTTCCAGTTAGACCTGAGGTTTGGTTTAAAATTATTTGTGCTCAATATGTTTTGTTCTTTTCGTGACCTCTTTCACAATTTGAGAAATTGTACAAACTTAAATTCAAAGTTTAGTTATGTAACTTATTAAGTAGGCCATAATCCAAAGGCCTAAGGAAGCACCTTTAAAGGTAAATTACATAAACAGACTGAAAGAATCTAATATGTATGAATTCTATACAGTGTCCACTAGATGTCAGGGTTGTTTATGTGATCTAAGTTTAACTCGTAGTTTCCATTTTGGATTGGCAACAACCAACTTTCTTCTTAAACTTTGAAAAGATTTTATAATTTATTAATGCAGAGCACTATGTTCTTGTTCTATCTCTTATTTTATCTGTCTTCCAGTCATCATTCAGTAGTGAAATGATTTGGAAGGAAGCTGTATGCATGCATAAGTATGTATGCCTATATGAGCTGGAAATGAAAGCATTGATGAAGACTGTGTGGCTGATGTTTAAGAAAGTAGCTTCGTTTCCATAGCAACCCTTAATTAAAGGCCTGAGAGATTTTATCCTTCCTATAGTCTCTCATAAAGGATTCTACATCCAGAAGTTCAAGATAAGTTACATCATCATATCTCTAAATTATTCAACATAAATGCTCGGTTCACTGGATGTATATAGTGAAAATAATCCACTTGTGTTGTAAACATTCATTTTAATAAATTGTTGATTTGCATATTTTACCAGTCAGTAGGTACTTTACAGGCTTAGGAAGAAAATAAATCTCAAGGAGCAAAACAATGCAGGTACGCTGGAAAATAAAAAGTACAATTTATGTATTTGTTTATTTTTACTATTTCATCATTAAAGGGATAGTTCAGATCTTTTCAAGTGGGGTTGATTCCTTTAATAGCCTCACTTTGGAGAAATAGAGATTTGTTCTGACTGGCTGGACAAGCCAACCAGTCTGAACTGGAGCAAAAACCAAAGTAAAAAGCTGCTGAATTAAAACAACTCCGTTCTTAAAAATGTCAGAGCAGTTCATGAAAATGTTAGTTTTTAAAATGTTTACATCGTTGTCAAATTTGGATACACTGTTTGTTAGGTTTTGTTTTTTTCAGAAGACTGAGCTAATCCTGGAGCTAGCACTATTAGCAACAAAACAGAGAGCACTGTTTGGAAAGTGCTACAGCTAGCTGCTGCTGATGTCACTACTTGTGCTAGCCACTGAAATAGTAATACACTGGTATGACCAATGATGGTGCTACTCAAGATTTGTGGTTGCCATCTTGCTAAGTGCTATGCCTACTGCTGTGTACTTTTTATGTGTTAAAGTGTCACCCACTTTTAAAGCCTTCTGTGTTCTGTATAAGGTGTCATTATTCTAAAATCCACAGAAACTTCCTTATTTTAATTTTTTTTTTTTTTAAAGAAAACAATATTTCTAAAGTAAAATCAAAGGACAAGTGTGCTGTAATGATCCTCCTACTGAGCCTGGCCAAGCATTAGGTGCTGCAGAGTGCAGACCAGAGAGCCACCGCAACCTGATAAAATGACTGAGGGCTGTATTCTAGGCTCATTCTAGACCAGTACACAGTCTTTAAGTTTTTAATACTACTACGACTTTAACAATTTATGTACTTTTGTCACAAATAACTGAGCTACACTAACTGATTTAATCCATAAAATAAGGAAATCAGGAATAAAGATTATTATTTAAAATGTGTCGTTAAAATCAATGTATTTTCTGTTATCTATTTCAATACCTGCTTTACAGTTATTATAGCACTCTGTCCAGAGAGTTACAACCCCTGGTATCATGTCTTAGACTAGTAAAGGAACAGGTGGAAGAGAACTTGAAGAGGTGGAGGTATGCATTTAAAAGACGAGGAATGAAAGTCAGCCATAGTAAGACAGAGTTTGTGTGTGGATGAGAGGGAGGCCTGTGGAACAGTGAGGCTGCAAGGAGCAGAGGTCACAAACGTGCAGGACTTCAAGTACTTGGGATCCACTGTCCAGGAAAATGGGGAGTGTGAAGAGGTGAAGAAGAGAGTCCAGGCAGGATGGAGTGGATGGAGAAAAGTTTCAGGAGGGATTTTCAACAAAAAGGTGTCACCAAAGGTCAAAGGAAAAAAAAATTACAGGACAGTGATGAGACCAGCCATGTTGTATGGTCTGGAGACAGTGGCATTGACAAAAAGACAGGAGAAAGAACTGGAAGTGGCAGAAATGAAGATGTTGAAGTTTTCCTTAGGAGTGAAGAGCAGACTAGTACTTAAAAATTTAAATGTAATACCCCGTTCTTTGAATTCCAGGTTCTGATAATCAAACAGTTTTCTGGTTCCATTTTTTTTGTTTTTTTTTGTTTGTTAATAGTCTTTTGGTGTTTTATTATTGGGGCTATTTGTCTTTTGTGATTCTTGAGTTTATTTGCTTGTGCTTTTATTTTTCAGTCTTCCTCTGTATCATCAGTTCATTTTCCTTTAATATTTTTCCAGTCAGTCTGCCATGCCCGCCTTCACCCTCTCCCTGATAACATCTGGATCCACTTCTCTTGTTAGTCCCAGTCTTTATATTCAGATTGTATCCAGCTCCACCTCAGCATTGCATTGTGTGTTTCCTGCCAATTCATGGTTTGCTCTCTGTGTATCTGTCCCCTGAGTCTCACCTCTTAAAAACAAGTTTATTTTTACAAGCTTCTCGAGTCTAATTACATTTGGAACCAATCCTAGCAAAAACGGTTACGCAATTAATGACGAAAAATAGGGCTTCTTAGATTTTTTTTGTTTTTCCCATTAAGAAATCTGTTGCCATGCTAGCAGTAACACTAGCGACAAAATGGGAGCACAACATTTTGCTCTGTAAGCGTTCATTCCAGCACATTTCTGTATCAGTAATATTCTGTGTAACCCAAAATTAACAGTAGCCTAAATATTTATAAAATATCATTTGTGTAAGTCAATAGATAACATTTGTGTTTAGTACTGTTTTAAAACAGGCCGATCAGATTTTTATACAACAAACTACAAACCCAGGGCTATTCAGCTCAGTTGCTCAGGGGGCCACAGTTACTGAAAGCCAAGAGCTCAGGGGTAGGTCTGTCTCAATAACAAATTTTGCTGGGCGATTAATTGTCTCAGAAATTATTGCGATAAATGATAATATTGTTTGAAATTTGACAATAATTAGTAATTGTCAAATTTAAGAAGAAATGTTGGTTAATTTTTATTGTATTATCTTTTTTAACCACTGGATGGCGATATGTGACAGTTTGAACCGAAGGATGGATAGTGAGGGAGCATAGTGTCTCTTTAAGAAAAATGTGAGGGCGGCCCCTTGACGTGACATGGGCTGTCTCTCCTTCCTGTTTTTCCGTTCTCAAAATGGCGGACACTCTGTGTGGTTTGAGCTCTTTAGCATAGCATTTGTCAAACAAAGCTTTTACTAAAAAAAAAAAATCAGAAAACAAGTTCTCATTATCTTTTTGCAGAGAAAAACAACTTTTTACACGAAGGCACAGGTTTCAACCGTGAATTTTGGAGTGTCGACAAGACGGAGGTTTTTTCCCCGACGTCGGCCTGTTAGCTTAGCTCTTAGCTTCTCAGCTTAGCTGCTTTTAATGATCCAAAAACGCAATTTTGGACGATTCATACAGATTTTAAAGAGAAAGGCGAAAGGGAGGGGTCAGCGAAGAGCACCGGAGTCGATCTTTTTGTCATCCAGTGTCTTCAGTAGAAAGAGAGACACGAAGAAACGATAAAGCCGATAAATGAAAATGAGGTAGATAATTTTAATTTATCATGTGATTAATTGATTTATTGTTTTTTTTTTTTGTTTTTTGTTTTTTTTTTTTTGATGGCCTCCCTTCTCCCCTTACAGCCATCCTCTCCACACCATTATTATGAAATATTTATTATAGTGACATTCTAGTGTAGGGTTTTTTTTTTTTTTTTTTTTTTTTTAATAGGATAGAAAGAAAGAAAAGACAAAGTAAGACTCCAAAATATAAGAAATATATACAAATAGAGCACACTTCAAAACACCCGGCCACTGTCTGTTCACCTGCAAAGAACATGACAAAACACAGCAACAAAATACATATGTATAAAGAACTTAAAATATTCATGGCTTTGCAGTAAGTTTCAATAAATATATATACCCATACCTACGCCTATATACATACATACATACATACATACACATGAATATACACTCACATACATATCTATATATCTACATATAAAGCCTACATAAACATCCCTGCTTCTATTTGTGTGTGGTTGTGAGCATGCATAAGTGTATAAGGCTTCTCTAATAGAACATTTATTAGTAATTGTGAAGCAGCAGAGACCCGACCCCCAAGACCAGAGGCAGACGAAAAAGGGGGGACCAGAG